CGCCGGTCAGACAATCAACCAAGCATCAGCTGCGTGCTTCAACAGGCGGGGGAGCCGAACACGCCAGAGGACTGCGTCTTCTCTACAAGCTGTAACACCCCAAGAATTTAACCAGATTTTTGATAATAAAATTTTGTCAAGAATTAAAAATTTTGCCTGCAAGAATATTTCTATTGATTTCAGAACCTTTCTTTTAATATTAAGGAGTTTTTTCCAAGTGGAGCTTTCCAAAATATATTGGACTTCTATGCTCTCTGTATAACATTTTCTTAATCAGTGGATTTATTTATTAAATTATTCCACCCTGAGCTATAATCATTAAAATGACTTGCTTTAAGTTTTGGAGCTCTGTTTGAACTACAACCATTTGATAACTTTAACTAAAAATCCAATCAAAATTTGGAGATGTCATGTGATGCCCCTAAATCACTTTTGTGCAATAATATATTTATTTCATTGCATATTTTGAAGGTTACATCTGTTTTTCAAATCTGTTCCAGTGGACACTTTTGCACTATAGCCTAATTAAATATCTCCCTAGAGCCTCCACCAAATTTATGGGATGTCACTGGTAGCAGGCCATCCAACTTTATGCAAAAACATAGTGTTGTTCTTTGGAAAAATTTAGTGTACCAACCTCTTTTTCATTCTGGACCAGACTTGTGTTTTCTACTGCAACCCCATTCATTCTTGCTCAAGTGACCTTGTGCTTTCTCATGCTTGTAGTAAACCCTGCAAAACCCCTAAGTCCAGGAGCTTGCACTCTTTGGAACACTTTTGGTCTATGTAATGATGCCATCTTGTTCCTGTCCAGAATTGTAGTTTTGCAAAACTTGCACTAGCAAGTTTCTCCTTTTGGCAAACTAACCTTACCACCCTCTCCTTCTTCTAAAGAGACCCCACTCTGGGAGATTTGGCCACCCCAAGAACTACCTAGGTGCCCTTGGCATTTTGTCAAACACCCTGAGTGCATAGCCAGATTTGGCATGACTTCAAGTTTACATTGTGAACTTGAGCCCCTGACCTATTCAGCATGTCCCATGGATCTGCCCTAGCCTATAACCCCACTCTGCTAACCCTCTTGTAGTTTGGAACCCCCTAGCATGCCATAGCATTTCATCGAGCACGTTCCGTGCGTGCTCTGGGCGCGCCCAGAGCGTGCGTTTGGCACGCACGTGCGCCCGAGCCGCCGCGTCACGCCCCACACTCACTCCGGCCCGTGACCGACCGCAGCCAGCACGCCGTGTCCCCTGCTGCACCCCACGAGCCCTGCAGCTCTCGCCACGTCTCCGGCAGGCCAGCCGCTAGCCGCCACCACCGCCCGACAGCTCCTGCGCTAGCCAGCGCCGCCCAAGCCATCTCCGCTCGCCAGCTCGCCCTTGGAGCAGTAGCCGCTCGTCCGCTAGCTCCTGCCGCCATCCCCAGCCTTGCCACGATGCCCTGCAGCTACAGAAGACGGTCGCCGACGCCCTTATCTGCGGCCGCCGCCGAACCGCCTCGACTCGCCTATTTAAGGGAGCCCCAAGCCCGTTCCCGCACACAGGCAGCCTCAGGTCACCCCAATGGCGCTCCCCTAGCCCGCAATCGACCCGGAGAGGTTCTCTTCCCTGTCTCCGGCAACTCCTGCCGCTGCCACTGCCCCAGCCACTCCGGCACCATCAGGGCCTCCCCCTCTCCACTCTCTCCACCAGGAGCCTTCTCTTCCTCCCGTGAACCTTTCCCCCTACTCGATTTTGATCGGGAACCACCGCGGCCACAAAAACACTTTGCTCCCGAGGCCTCCTCCGCCGTGAAGCTCACCGTTGGCGACTCCCTCCACCCCCGCTGACCCAGCGACCACCGGGAGGACCGCCCGGTCTTGCGAATCCACCTCGACTCTCTGGAGCCCGCGGGGAGCAGCCATTCACCGGCGTCGATCGCCGTCGCCTCGCCTCTGTTCGGGCGAAGGAAGAAGGAGGGATGGACTGGTCAAACCTGACCAGTGGGCCCCCTGGACCCACTGTCAGTGACCCCGCCCCAGTCCACGTGGGTTAAGTGGAAGCGCATTTCCATATTACGCCTTCGACGTGTACGTGCATATTCGAAACGTTTTCTTTTCTGTTTTTATTTAAATAACAGATTTTTGACCAAACTTTGACCGGCTGTATCTTATTAAATACAACTCCAAATAAATTAATTCTTTTTCCTACCTCTCTCAAATATTGTCTAGTTTATTTTAAGATTTATTAAAAAATATTTCAAAACAACTTTTTGTGCTGTTTGTTTTTGTGTGTTAATTCATATATATTCTTTCAAATAGGATTTTTGAAGATTTCAAGATGTTTTGGAATGCACCCTGCTTTCCCATGACCTGAAGGCAAGCATTCTGAACCCTGGTGAAATTTTTATCTCGGTGACAACACCACCCCGACACGAGCATACGTCATTTTATGTGAGGATGTGGTCCTGCTCATGAGTGAAGAATTATGATTTTTATGCTGATGGAGTTGACATGATTTGTGATGGAAATCACCGTCATACGCCTTTTATGCATACCAGAAAGGAAGCCGGGAAGGCCTCTGTCTTGGGTAGACACGGTCTTGTCCCTAGTCCTCCGTCGAGACGGTCGTGTCCAGTATGGCATGAGGGGGTATGTCGCGTGGTGTTTCTATCTGTTGGTTGATGTATATGTATTGTTATGCTAATCTTGCAGGAAATATTTGAACCTCCTGAGTCGACCGTAGATCGAGTCTTGTGCCAGTAACCCCATACTTGCTTCGTACTACCACTCGTCTCTACAACAAGTAGGGTACGGTTCAGTAAGTTGTCAACCCCTTTCCTAGCACACACCGTACAGAGAGGCCATGGTGGAAGATACTGGAGGCATCCGGTAGTCATGCCACCGGGTCCGGGAGCATGGGTGTTTCGGTTGTAGCCGAAGGGGGTAGCTCCCCAGTTTGCGCGCGGTATAAATTTTGTGATCCCATGTTACGTCGAGGTTGTAGCCTCCCCACTTAGAGTTTTGCTTGACAGGTGTCGTGGGTGATTCCAGGCACATGTGAGTTGAGCTGGTGTGTGCAAGTTAGGTGTATTTTCAACTAAAAGACCGTAGATGGAATTAGTCTTGAGGACTAAAGGAATCCGTTACTTGTGGGTAAAGAGTACACCCTCTGCAGAGATTAAACCTATTCGAATAGCCGTGTCCATGGTTAAGGATTACAGTCTGGGATGGGTCAAGACTCGGTCTTAGTGTCGGTCTTTAAAGGTGAAACTGTTAAACCGGAACTGGAAACACAACTTGTGGTTTGTGATATTTATTATTATTATTTTTGTTGTGGACTAACCCGTGATATTATTAGTATTATTGAATATCCCTGGGATGGTTCTACCTCCTGGATATTCACTGTGATTTCTTTTAAAGCCCTTTATGTGGTGTCGCTAAGACGCCCGACTGCGGCATTTCTTTTAAAGCCCTTTATGTGGTGTCGCTAAGACGCCCGACTATGGCATTTCTTTTAAAGCCCTTTATGTGGTGTCGCTAAGACGCCCGACTGCGGCATTTCTTTTAAAGCCCTTTATGTGGTGTCGCTAAGACGCCCGGCTGTGGCATTTCTTTTAAAGCCCTTTATATGGTGTCGCTAAGACGCCCGACTGTGG